CAAGGGCAAAGCCATATGCCGTCGCTGTTACATGCTCTGCAGACTCAGAATTTCAGCCCTGCTCCTTCCCAGACTCCCCGCCCAGAGCCTTGGTTTCTCCTGTGAAATGGGGTTGGGGACAGCACCCACCTTGTAGGGCCCCTGTGGGATTCAGGCAGATAAGGAGCCCTCCTGGGTGGCACTAGCAGATCCTGGGTCTTTGGAGGCCATGCTCATGCATGCTGACTGGCATGAGAGGGCGTCTCATTCCACACGTGGTGCCGGCAGTGTTCCACAGCATTGCACATCTCAGCCGTCTCCTGATTCATGCACCAGAAGCCCGGGCCCGTGGCACACTGGTCAGTGCCCACCAGCAGGACCTTGGGGGCGTGGCAGGCGCCCATCTTCGTGCACAGGGCCACCGGGTCCATTATGTCCCTGAGGCTGTCAGTGAGCACGGGCTGGTACTCAGCCACAAAGCGGTTGCACTGCACCATGTAGGGCAGCGGCAGGATGCTGCAGCCGCTCCTGAAGAGCCTCAGAATGCTGCGCTCCGTGCTCTTGAGCCTCAGGTTGCGAGCGGACACGGCAAACAGCCTCTTGCATCCATTGCAGAAGATGCCCTGGTTTTCCCTGCTCGGTATCGGGGGCAGCGTGTTTGCATAGGCCTCGTCGACTGCCCGGGCCCGCCTCTGGCCACTGCACAGCCCGATGGCCTTGCACACCCTTTCTGGGGTGACTTTTGTCAGGAGCTGCACCAAGAAGGGGCTGTAGGCATCCACCAAGGTGATGCACTCCTGGGTGATGGACGTGGGCATCTTGGTGCAGCCGCGCTCCAGGGCGTGGGTGATGAGGACCTCCGTTTTGTTGGATTCCAACCACCCCTCCAGCTCCTGGACCACCTGCTGGCACATCTCACAGGTCAGGCCGGCCTTCATGTGCATCTCAGTCGTCCTCCTTGAGGACACTGGCTCCAGGGAAGGGACCCCGGCCACAGCAGCCAGGTGGGCCTGCCCCTCTAGCCCCTCACAGAAGCCCCCCTTCCCACAGATCTCCTTCGGCACTACGAGCCTCAGTGTTTGCTCAGCTGGGGCAAAAAAATGGTGGATGTAGTTCTTGCAAAGGAGAGTGAAGCCAGGCCCCAGGGACTCACACTGTTCCTGCGTGGTCACTTCTGCCAAGTCGGACAAGTTGGACCCAACCGTGTCCTGGAGTCGGGTGACCAGCTGGACACAGTCCTGGCACACGGTGTCCCCAGGAATCTGTGGAGGGTGGAAGCTGAGGGGCCCATGGGCCATGAGTGGCGCCGCCACCTCTGATGTGTCCTCTTTGGAGAGCAGCCGCAGGGTGGCCAGGTGCTTCTGCAGTGGCTGGCAGAGGGTGAGCGCGGTGCACACCTGTGCCGGGGTGCCGCCCAGGGCCTCATCAAGCAAGCTCAGGAGGGCCAAGCGGTGGGCATCCACCAGCTCCCTGCACTTGGTTGCTGCCTCCCGGCTGGGAAGCCACTCACACGCCTTCATCACCAAGGCCAGGGTGTTGGTCTCCGTGGCGTCAGGGTCCAGCCCATTGCTGGTGGCAGTCATCACATCCAGGCACACATCGCAGGGCAAGGACTTGGCAGTGGGCTTGCTCCAGACAGCCATCCGGCAGTACCCCACGGCCCCGCACCTTGTCGCTGCCTGCAGGTCCTGGCACCACACGGCCGAGCCCTTTGCACACCCCTGGGGGTCGGGGGTGGGGGTGGCCAGAGCAGCCCCCAGGAGGCTGGACAGGAGAAGCAGAGCGCAGAGCATGCTGGTGGCGGCTCGGCCAGCTCCAGTGCCCCGTTCAGCCCGGCCGCTGCTATAAACCCAGCGCTCTCACCTGGTGCCCGAGCAGCTGCGCAGGGTGGCCCCGCCCTCGGCCGCCTCCCGCTCTGACTCATAACCGACGTGACGAGCCTCAAGCCTGGCTGTGGTCGCATCAGCTTCTTTCCTTTTGTCCTTGTGAAGCCTCCACCTGCAAGGAGCGCTGCTCTCCCTTCTTCCCCCTGGATGCACTCCTGTCTTTCAGAGCCCAGCTTGTGTTTGAATGAAGGGCGTTTCAAGATCCCTTTGCTGGGAGGCGGGGCCTCCCTGTGGCTCACTGTCCCGTCCTGACCTGTGTGCCTGGCTGGGTCCCCTCCTAGAAGAAGAGACCCCAGGGGAATTGCTGCCCTTCCCTGGGAAGTACATAAAGGCATTCTAAGGTTTTCTGCTAGGATGTTAAGTGGATTTAACGACTGGCCCGCCATGGCAGTCCTGGCTGGTTCCACGCTGGCCCTGGCCTCGCCAGCTGTGCTGTCTGGGGAGGTGTGCTTGCTGAGTGTCATGTCTTTACTGTGAATGAGAGTGCCATCAACCTCCCAGGACAAGCCACACCCGTGAAAGCTCCCAGCAAGTGAGTGGCTGGGTTGGTCAGTTCCTTCCAGAAACCTGGCCAAGTGTGGACTGGCCTATAGTGGACACAAAGATGCGGATTGAAAGTACACATACACAAAAGGGGTTTGTTTCAGTCCTGGGTCATTTATTATGTTATTTTTTTTCCTTCCTTAGTTTTTAAAAGAGCTGACAGGCAAGAGAATCCGAGCTGGGCAGACACACATGGCATCCTAAGGCGTATCCTGTTCCTTAAGTGGAGAATTCCTGAGCCGGCCGGCCTTTGGCCTGATTTCCACTTGGCTTACCACACCCTCGGGGCCCTCCCAAAGGTGGGCGGGTTGGGGCCCCCATGGTAGAGGGCTCCCCCTGGGGCACCTGCACCCCTTGGTGGGTGTGAGCCCTCACTCAGATCCCGGGGTGCAGGGTGCTCCGTGGGAGCCCCTCCATCCTCAGCTATGTGGGGCAGGTGGCGTGGCCTAAAACTACAACAAGCCCGGTGGAGGAATGTGGAAGGAGCTGTTGCAGCCGCCTTTTGTCTAGAGGGCTGGGGTGGGTGGACAGACAGGGTCAGCTGAGCCCTTGCTTCCCTTCCAAGGACAGTGGGTCCTTTGGACTAGAGAAGTGGTGGTTTCGGGACGCAGTGAGGCCAGGCATCTCAGCAGCAGGCATGGCAGCCAGCTGGCTCTGGACTTCATTCTCAGAGGTGGGGCTGGAGACCTGGGGTGTCCTTCTCTGGACGTGCCTGGGACAGGCAGCTGTTGGTTCATTTCAGCACACTTTGCTGTGCCCACTCTTGACTCAGTGCATCACCTGGTATCATGGGGCACCCACTCTCCTCCTCTGAGGACTGTGGGCACAGGGCTAAGCAAGCAGAAAGGCCTGTGCCAGGGCCCCCAGGCAGTGCCCAGCCTTCTTCTTTCTCACCATCCAGCCCCGCATGGCTGCCTGGGCACCTTCCACAGATGCTGCACTTCCCAGGGGCCTGGAACATTCTCCTCTTTATTGTACTCCTCAGGCCCAGTACAGAGCCCTGCTGATGCAATACTTAACTTGTTTTGTTTTAAAAAAGAATATAAGAGCCTTTTCTTTTGGGTTTTCTAATTTAAAAATATTTATTGAAGTATTTCATGTATGCAAAAAAAGGCACAAATTATAAGATCCACAAAGAGAGGCAGCCCCCAGATCCAGACAGAGTATCCACAATTCCTAGCAGCCCCCACACCTTCTGGTCATCCCCACGCCCTGCCCCCGGCCTGGCACGGCTACCCTGACTATTTTGCCCGGCTTCTTTGGTGCGATATATGTCTGTGTGATTCATCCAGCCTGCTGTGTGGAGTGGTGGGTCTGGTGTTCTCATTTCTGTGTAGAATTCCACTGGGTGAAATACAGCTCATTTATCTGTTCTACCCTGGACGGACATTCGGGTCATTTCGAGCATGGGGCTAGCGTGGACCGCGCTGCTCTCGGTGTTTCTGTGCACGGCTGAGGATGCACGTGCCTCCCCGTCTCTGCCGGGTTTGATCGGAGTGGAATTGCTGGGGCAGTGCGCAGATGACAAGTGGAGTCCTACAGGCAGGTCTCCAGAGTGGTTGTACCAGTGCCCGCTGGCCTCAGCAGTGTTTGAAAATTCTGGTTGCTCCACAGCTATTTTGTTTTGGGAGGTTATGTTTTATTTTGATACAATTCCAAGCTTAGAGACCAGTTGCAAAATCAGTGCAGGAGCTTCTGTACACCCATCCCCGGGTGCATCTGCCCGTTTGCTCTGGGGCCTTCCCCTCTCCCTACCTCTCAGTTCCTCTCGTCTGTCTGTCTATCTATCTGCACACATATATACTTAAAGATATTTTGATCCTGATTTGTTGAGAGTAGGTTGAAGACTCCATTTCTTGAGGACAAGGACTTTCTCCCAGCTAATCACAGAGCATTTATGAACAAAGAGAACTGTAATATCAATGCAATACTATTAACTAACCACACAGCCCATATTCAGACTTCAGCAGTGGCTATGGGGCTGCCCTGTGTCTGTATTTCACTTCCCAGGCTACGTTCTGATCTGGGTCTCATACTGCACATGCTCGCCACCACTCAATCCCCCGTCTTTCCTACTGGCAGAGGACAGGCCATTTATTCTGTAGAATTCTGTCACATTGGGGTTTCCTCATGATCAGATGCAGTTTATTTCATTTATTAGGTTGTAATCCACTACCATCCATTGTTTTGATGCCTAAATTGCTCCAGATTAGATCAACAGGGAGCCCCTTTTTGCTAGCCTGTGCCTCTTTGACATGTGACCATCATTCCTGGGGCACATCTGTACTTTCTGGAATGAGAATCGGTCCAGACTCGTCTGGCGCTCTGCTTACACCGGCCCCGGAATCAGCCCGCTCTCTCAGGAAAGTGGTATTTAGAAACCAAGACCTGGGCCCTGGGTGTGCCCCCTGCTACTGTGGCCGTCACTTCCTGGACATCTTGGTGAACAGAGCAGTGAAAACATTGGCTCCTATTGAAGGAGTAAAGGAGGAAGGAGGGAGGAAGGACATATACATATGGAAATACAGGAAGGGACGTTCACAGATACAGAGACAAACATAAGGAAATGTAGACACATTCATACACATGACACTCATGTATCCTTCCAATACTTCCTTATATGGCCACGACTTCCTGCTGATAATCCCTCGCCTCAGACCACAGTCAAGGTTCTTTCTCTCTAGATCAACTCCCCTAACCAACAATGAGGAGCTTGGCTCCCATTATCCTTAATATTTGCTCATTTGCTGAACTCTAAAATAGAAAAAATGCAGTTTAGAAATGCTGACTTCCGCCACTGTGAAAAGCAAAACCTACTTACTAGACTTCTGTATTTGTACTCATTTCTCTTTATTCTATTGAGATAAAATTCACATACAGCAAAACATGCTCATCTTAGCTATGCAACGTGGTGAATTTGGGCAGACCAGGCCCCATCACGTTGCAGGACGTTTCCTGTGCCTTCCGGCTGCTCCTCAACCCGAGCAGGCACTCTTCTGATTTTCTGCACCACTGACTCGGCTCGCCTGTGTTTGAGCCCACGGTCACGTTGTCCCCTGTGTCTGCTCCTTTCTCGCACCTGTCTGAGGGCCACCCCCAGTGTCGCTGTAGCTGCAGGGCCCCAAGTGCTCAGCAGTGCCCCATCGTGTGGCTGTGGCGCAGCCTGTTCCCCCACTGTGGGCAGCGTCGCTTTGGGAGCTATTGAAATATCGCTGTTTCGTACATTCTAGGTGGCATGTGGGGGACAGAATGTTGTGTCCTGTGGGTGGGCACCCAGGGGAGAGACTTGGGGGTCTTGAGGTTTGAGTATGCCAAGCAGATGCCTCCAGGGACTCTCCTAAAGTGGTGGCACCAGGTGCAGTCACCCCAACAGCACCGCCCTACACTCCGCTTTCAGCCCTACAGAGAACGTGGGCATCACGGGGTGGGCGCTCATTGCCACCCACCACCCAGCAGAGGCTCGTGCTTGCAGGAGGTTTAATAAACCGCATTTGTTTAAGAAAGTTATCTGGGAGCTGTTCGCCGTTTCTTCCTAAGCAAAGTCCAGCCTGGCCTCACTGGGTGGAGGGTGCTGGGAGTTTGTGGGCGGAAGCTTATCTGGAGCCTGGGGTCAGGGAGGGGAAGCCGAGGAGGTGGGCCGAGCTTGCCAACAGCTTGGGAGCCTGGACGGTTTTGAGGCTGAGCAGAAAACACCGCCCATTTCTCAGGGCCCTGCGAGCCGTCCTCTCTTGTCACCGTGGCGCCCTGCTGTGTGGCGGGGAAGGAGCTGGCCCTACGTGCACGTAGCTCACTCTTCCAGCACACACTGGCAGAGGTGTCTGCCGCCAGTCCTAGCCCAGGAGGGCTTTCCGGCCTGGGTTCCGGAATGTCTGTCCCCAGAAGCACCAGCTTCCTGCCATCCCTTCCGCTGAGGCCAACCTGACGCTCTCCCCACCCCTCCCAGGGGTGCCTCTCTTAGTCTCTGCCCTCCTTCTGGGTGACATTGCTGTCACGTACCTGGGATCCACCTGCACTGCCTGCCACATTCGGCCTGAGGCTGGGATTCATGGAATCACTCATTTCGCATGTATTTTTAAGGCTCCTGCTGCATGCTGTGGGCTCAACAGGGAAGAACACAGACAAGGAACGGATATTCCGGTTCGGGGCGCAGACCAAGTGACCATCTAGGGCCAGGTGGAAGTGAGTCCTGTGGGGTCAAAGAAAGCAGGCGAAGGGCTAGAATGGGGCCAGGAGGCCGGCACTCTCAAAGCTGGGTGGCCTGCGCAGCCCCTCTGAAGGTGGCGAGGGTGCAGTGCTGGGATGAAGTAGGTCCCTGGGCAAAGGCCTGGGGTGGGCAGTGGGATTCCCGAGCAGCGCCAGTAGGAGGGGATGCCTGCTGCCTCTGCAGCGAGGAGGCCAAGGGACAGGAGCGCCTACACACAGCATGAGCCGGACAGCCCTCAGGGCCCCTCAGTGGAGTCATTGCTGCTTCCGAGAAGGTGGACATGGGGTGTCCAGGGACCATCTTTGTAAGGTCTAGGAGAGAGGGCGCCCAGGTGAGGGGCATGGGTGTGGTAGCCCGAGACCAGGCTCAGGGCCTTCTCCAGGGGGCACACTGGCCTGCGGCACAGCTGCCTGGAAGTCAAGCCCGGGCCCCTGCCACCAGGCCTGGGCTTCCCAGTGCGGGGGCAGAGTGCGTCTGGGGCCATGCGTGGAGGCGTCCAGGGTGGGGTGAGGGCTGCCAAGGAGCTGAGTGTGAGGCAGTGACTCACACCTGGGCCAACAGGGGTGGTGCACGGGTCAGCCAGGCAGAGCTCAGGGCAGCAGCAGGGGCAGTGAGATTCCTGCGCAGGGCCAGGATGCCAGGATGCCAGGATGCCCGGTCAGAGCACCTCCAAGCTTGAGGCTGGTGGGATGGGAGCTGGACCAGCGGTGGTCTGAGCCTAGACCAGCACTGTCCACTCATGTCCCATGGGCCGGGTCAGCTCACCCGGAGACGCCTGTGCCCCCAGACGGTGGGAGACGGCGTCTGCAAGGAGTCAGAGGCTCCCGGGCAGCCCGGCTGTTTCACAGATGGGCGCCACGTGTGACCGGGATGGAGGACCCTCCTCTCTCCCTCAGGGACCCCTCAGCGTCTCCCACTGTGGCTGAACCTGACGCCCCCACGTGGGACTGGCTGGCCTCAGAGGCAGGCCTGAGGTTTGGTTCCTACCCGAGGGCCTCCTTGTCTCACAGAATAAAGAGAAGGGCGGGGCCAAAGGCAGCTCCTAGCCTCAGCAGGTGCCCCTGGGACTTGCTGATCAACAGTGGGTTGGGGGTATATCCATGTCCTGCGGTCTGGGGGCTCCAGAATGCCTCTTCCAGCCCCTGGGGGCTCCAGGCAGCCCTGGGCTTGTGGCCACGTTACTCCAATCTTTGCCTTCATTGTCACATGCCCTGCTGTGTCTGTCTGTGTCCAAATTTCCCTTTTTCTTATGAGAACACTAGTCATTGGATTTAGGGCCACCCTACTCAGTGTGACCTCATCTTACCTAGTTACATCTGCAAAGACCCTATTCCTAAACTAAGGTCATGTCACAGGTACAAGAGCTTAGGACTTCAACATCTTTCGGGGACACAAGTCATTCCACCCATAGCAGATGGGCCCAAGGCACTGCTGATCTTGACCTTGACCTTGACCTTGACCAAGGTTGTGCTCGGGACCCTGCCTTGGCCCTGGGCAGCCTGGAAGTAGGCAGGCCCCCCTGTGTGGACAGCGTCTGGGTTAGGGCCCTGGGTGTTGGTGGGGTGCTTGCTGCACACAGTTACTGCACACGGTCTGTAAAGTTCTTCTCAGCACAGAGCAAATGTGCTCGGAGCCGGAGCCGCCTCTGGGACACAGGGGCCTGGGGGAGCACTTTGAAGGGCAGACCCGGGTGCCTTAGCCCCATGACCTGAAAACCTTGCGAGGCGCTGAATCAGTCGGTCACAGTGGCCCCTGACTCCAGGCACTTGGAGGCAGTCGTAGACTCTGAAGGTGTGGAACCCGGGGGGTGGGCACAACGATCGGGAGCAGGGCAGCCAGGAACCTGGGGTGTTCAGACCTGGGTCTCTGGGACTCTGCGGCCAAAGCCTCGGACACACACACCTTCAGAGCTTGGAGACCTCCGGTCTGGGGCCCCCAAGGGCAGCCACCGCCTGCGTGTCTCCCGTGTGCCCAGCGCCTTCCTCCTGGGCCTGGAGCTCCTACCGGCACAGCTGAGAGCTCAGACGAGGTGCTGTCCCCCAGGTACCTCCCGGGTGGAGGACAGGAAGGGGCACTGAGGGCGAGGCCCCTACTGTGTGTGGTGAGGGTGGGGGGCAGAGGGGCAGCCCCGGCTCACAGGATGGGAGGGGCAGGCTAGAGAAGGCGAGAGGTGACCCCAGGATGGGCTGATCCATGGGGGGCTCAGTGGAGTGGGGGGGCAGGCCAGGGGTGGCCAGGAAGTATGAGGTCCCACCTCTGGGTGGCCCTAGAGGGCCTGGGGTGAGAACGGTCAGGGAGATGGTGGGAGACAAGGGACCAGCTCCATCCAGGGGGCGTGTGGAAGGGGGTGTGGGAGCAATGGCTGCCCGGAGGACTGGGGTTTTTGGCCGTCAGGGTATGCTGGTGACCTTGGCGAGGGCAGCTTCTGGGCACTGGGAGCAGGTGAGGGTAGAGCAGCAGATCGCCTGGGCTGAGCGGAGCAGGGAGGAGCTCTGGCTCTGGAAAGGGGACAGAGGTGGCTGGAGGTGGAGGACGGAGGAGGGAAGGGAGGGGATGTCCTCTGTGCCACGCCCTGGGTCAGACACCTGCCTCTCACCTGGATGTCACAACAACAGCCCAACAGGTCTGCCTGCCCAGGTCCCCTCGTCCAGGCCAGGCCCCAGTGGCTCAGGACGGGCACCTGGCGTGTCCCTGCCTCCTCTGTCTCATGCTCCACGTTCAACCCAGCGATTCCACAGACGTCTAACACTCCCCGTGAGCTGGTGGGAGGCGGAGCACCCAGCCCGGCCCCTCCCGCCACCCTGGGGATGGAGGGCGAGCTTAAGCTCCTGCCCAGCTGCCAGCCCGCCTCATGGTGGGACTCCATTTCTCTCATCTGCGCTTACCTGCAGCCTCAGGAACCGTGGGTACCTGGCCATTGTGCCCATCAGAGCCGCTGTGTTCGTGTCCTGGGGCCCCCTAACCAACTGCCAGGCTGGCGGCCTGACAACAGGTGTTCATTCTCTCCCAGTTCTGGAGACCAGAAGTCCAAGGCCGGGGGTCTGCAGAGCAGGTTCCTTCTGGGCTGTGAGGAGCAGCTGCCCCAGCCTCTTCCTGGCTTCCTGGGCTGGGCTGGCCACCTCGTCGTCCTTGGCTTGTGGCTTGTGGCTTCTGATCTCTGCCCCTGTTGTCACACGGCCTTCACCCTGTGTGCGCGTCTGTGTGTAAGTTTCTTCCTTTTTAGAAGGATGCCAGACATCCTGGATTAGGGCCCACCCAGCTCTGGTGTGACCTTGTCTGAAATAATTACATCTGCAGCAACTCTATCTCCCAGGAAGATCAAGGTCCTGGGGGCCTAGGACATCAACTGTTTGGGGACACAGTATAGCCTGTTGTAGCCACCATCATGGAGGCTTTGTGGATACTGAGGTGCAGGCTGGTGCCGTAGGGTTATTCCAGTGCACCCAGAATCCTTGGGACACTGCTCTGGTCACGTCAGCCTTCCCTGAACCCTGAGAGGACACCACATCCCACCTGTGCCTTTCAGCTGGGCACTAACATCGTGCTGAGATGGCATCTGCCTCCCTGCCCCAGGGGTCTCCAGGCACATGGGAGGTGCCCATGAGCAGGGGCCACACCTCCTTTGCAGTGCTGAGCCTGGCACACAATAGCTGTGCCCGAGCATTAGTGTCGATTGTACGAGGCACCGTTACCGGGACCACGTGGGCCATCACGTGCTGTGTTGAAGGGCAGACATGGAGATCCGGGTCTGTGTCCTTCCTGGAGAAGCCACCAAGCCACATGAAATGCCAGAGTGAGAGAGATGGGGAAGCCAAGGCACAGCGGTGCCTGTGGCAGCCAGAGGCAGGGCTGAGGGGTCCCTGACCTTCAGCAGGGCGCTCTGTGCCGAGCAGAGGTGCTGAGTGCCGGCTCTCCAGTGAGGCAGAGCTGGCCAAGCCGTTTTGCGGTTACTGACAGGTGCTTTCCTCGGCTGTGAGCCCTCCGCCTAGCGAGGGGCACACGGGCTTCCTCTGCAGGGACTGTGCAGTGCTGTCCTCAGGGCGCCCTGCGAGGACGCAGGAGGCCGGACCCCCACCGCCTGAGCAGAGCCCCGGCCTGGTGTCCTGGGCTGGACAGGCTGATGCCCGCTCCACTCCTTGCCTCATCTAGAAGGGGGGGGTCCTGCTCGTGCCTGCTGACCACCTGGGTAAGTCCCTGGCACAAGGTGAGCCCATTTTGTAGGTGGGGACACTGAAGCTCAGGGAGGCTCAGTGTTCAGACCTGGCTTGGCTGCCCTCGGGGTCTGCGTGCTTACCTTCAGCCTCGTCCTCCCGGACGCGCAGCTGCCCTTTCGTCCTGATGAGCTGGAGTCTCAGGCGTCCTCCCCCACGTAGTGACAGTAGTGACCGATGTATTTTCTCCCCATGAAGCGCGGTGTGATCTTTCATGTGCTAAAAAGCGTCAGAGGGGATAGTGGTTCTTCACTGGCCTGGGAGGCGCAGGAGGCAGAACGGGGAGGGGCCCCAGCCGGACGCTCAAGTCTGCCCCTCAGGCCGGAATGAGAGTGTGTCTTGGTTCTAACAAGATCTTCCTGCTGCCCACACCTGTGGAAGCAGAGGGAGCCGGCAGTCCTGGGTCCTCCCTCCCACTCTGTGCGGTCTCACCACCTCCCCCGGGGACTGCAGCGAACTCACAGTTTGCATTAGTCGCTGGCGGCCTTGTCCCAGAGGGCAGGAGCCCTCATGGGCCCACACTGCTCAGTCTGGGGCCCCGGACAATGCCCAGGACCTGGAAGGGCACTGGGAGCCGCAGGAGGCAGAGTCACAAAATCCATCCTCTCCTTGTGTTACAGATGAGGAAACTGAGGGTCAGACAGGCCCAACACTTCCCTCGAGTGTGTAGAGCTATCACCTGAAACCTGCCACTTCTCTCTCTTTGCTGTTTGCATCTTGGAAAATGTTCCCCTTTCCACAGAGGGACAGACACACAATTTTCAAACAAGTCAGTCTGCATATTGGGAACGTGGGCTTCAAAATATGGCAGTCAGAGTGAGCCTCCGGGGCCTTCCAGCCTCCGCAGCAGGGGTGGGGGCAAGAATCGGGGCTCAGGATGGACCCCACTCCTGCCACCTCCCAGGAGGGTGCTGCTGCCCATCAGAGATGAATCCTGATGGTAAAAAGTTGCAGTTATGGACAGACTCTGGGGAACAGTGTGACCAACCCCTGCCCGTGGGTGTATGTGGGACAGTTGGTAAGAGTTTGCTTATGTATTTCAGATTTTTGAAAGAAGTGACACAGTGCAGATGCAGCGGCAGCATTCACCGCACACCCAACCCCACACGCTGATGTGTTCCATGCTCGCTCATGTTTTCATGGTTTCGCCACATCTGTCTGTGTCCATAAACAATGGAGGTCATGTGTCATACGCACTGTTAATCTGCATGAGTGGTTCCAGGCTGGGCGTCTCTGTTGGCGGCTTGCTCTCCCTTGTCAGTGTCGTGTTTATGAACTAGATCCCTGTTGAAAGGTGGGATTCCATTGTATGAATAACCCAGTCTGTCTCCCTCGGGAGGGACGCTCTGTTGTGTTGCCCGCCTTTTTGCTGTCGTGGCCAGTCACACAGCCAACGTCCTGTGCCAGGCACTTGGTGCGTGTGCTTGGGTGGAAACAGAACTGAGCACGAGCATCTCCTGGGGCTCCAGGTGTGCTCGGAGCCCTGGGCCAGCAGGTAGAGTGCAGAGACTGGACTTGCAGTTGCTCTATTCAAAGGAGGAGTTTTGCAGGCCTGCTCCCGCCTTCCCCCTTCCAGCCTGCCCCTCCCTCCCTGTCCCCCCAGCCCCGCCCCACAGCATAGAATTCACACAACACTGACCAGTATGCAAGTCCTTGCTTTGCACCACTCATGGGTGACCTGGGGCGAGTGACCGCGTGCGTCACTCCTGTCTCCTGCCTGTAGGATGGTCGTGATTCCCGCTTGACAGGGCTGCTGTGACCCGGAGCTTGGCTCACATGTGTGACGCACACGGCCCCGTGTACAGGGGTCGGTGGTGTCATTTGTTCACCGATTCCCGGAGTCTTCCACCTGCTCACTAAGCCCGCTGTGGTCCTGCAGTGCCCAGGTCTGGCACTAGGCCCTCCGGAGCCCCGCAGCCCCCTCTGTGCCCCTTCCTCAGCTGCCCTGGAGGCCACACTTCCCAGAGGTGGATTCTCCAGTGTCGTGTTCTCGCCCGTGGTCTCTGGCCTGGAAAACTGCTCCAGTTTTCTAGGAATCTGACAGCCTCCTCCCGTGGAGCTTCACTAGCTAGATTTTCCACCACACCCAGGGGCCCCTGGGGGAGTCACCTCCTCCCCGCCAGAGGGAAGTTCATGAGAAAGGCACCTGCGGCCAGGAGGGGAGGGGCAGGAACTAGGGAAACATCTGGAAATTCTTAATCCTTAAAATCGTTAGATACAATTCACTCTCCCCCTTACCTCTCGAAGAACCCGAGGGAATGCGGCCCACAGGGTGCATGGGGCAGCCGCATCTTCCTGTGGACGTCAGGGCTTCCAGGGACCAAGGGTCCCATGATGGGTGTGGGCGGGGCCAGCCGGGCATGAGACCCGGGCCCTGCTGCCCACTCTGCAGGCGGCTGCGGCCTCAGGCACATCTGGCCCTCCCTGGGCTTCAGTTTGCTCATCTCAAAGTGTGTCTGCGGGTGTTTCTGGGAGGGTCTTCTCTGACTCACTATGCCCACCTGGTGACACTGGCTCCCTAGTGTCACATTGGTGGGTGCCCCCCAACTCTGGCCCAGAGGAGGAATCAGAAAAACCAGAGGAAGCATCTCCGCCCCACTGGGCAGGGGTTGCTGCTGCGCCCCTGCATCCCAGCCCTTTCCTGGGCTCCTCCAGGTCCCAGCAATGGCCGGCTTCACACACGAATCTTTGGGGGAGAGCTTCCCTCTCCAGGCTTGCTCAGGAGTGGCCTGGCACCCCAGGTCCCCGCTGCCTGGAGGCCCCGCACCCTGCCCCACAGCGCTCCTGTGGCTGTAAGAGCTTTGCTTCATCATCTGGGCCCTGGCTGCTTCTCCTTGACACACGTGCCCCAGGAGCCAGGGCCTTCCTGACTCTGTCCCCACCTGGAGGGGCCCAGCACGGGGGAGGCGCTCCTCAGCCACAGGATGAGCGAGAGAGGGACGGAGCCGACTGGGCCAGGCCCAGGCCTGTAGCAGAAAGGCCGCCTCCACTGCAGCAGGACTCGAGGGGGAAGGGGGCCAGAGGGAGGCAGGGGCTGCCCCCGAGCTGAGGCCATGGAGGGGACCCTGGCGGCCGCCTGGGCTGTGGGTGGTCTGTGCCTGGGAGCTTGGCCTGTCTCAGCCCGGAGGCCCGGCTGGTGGTGCCGTGTCCGGGGGTATGTGTGCATGTGACGGAGAGGGAGAGGGACACAGAGACAGGGGCGCACAGCCCTGAGAGTGGCTGGTGTGTCCCTCAGAAATGGAGTAGGAAGCCCCCAGCACAGACACGGCAAAAATGAGCAGCAAGTCCTCCTTGGGGTGCAGCTGGGACTGCGAGCATTCACCCCATCCTCCTGACAGCCGGACACCCTCCTGATTCCATCATCCCCAGTTTACAGGCGACAGAGGTGGAGGCCCAGGGAAGTCAGTGACTTTCCCAGAGGTGGGGACGGCTGGTAAGTGGCAGAGCTGGAATTCAGGGTGGGCCTCCTGACGGGCTTGTTTGCCAGTCAGTGAACAGCGGGTTCTGACACCCCCCGCCTCCTGGGCTACCAGCTGTAGTCAAGGCCCTTTGCTGCCCTGGGCCTTACAGTCCTCTTCTGGGAGAGGGGTCTTCGGGGGAGAGCGGAGCCTGGCCTATGGGCCGAGTATCAGCCTCCCCGGCACACAGGCAACGCGGCCCTTGGGACGCCCTCCCGGCCCGAGGCAGTGAGCCAGACCAGCTGGCTTGCATCTTCTGTTTGGCTAAACCAGTTCCTCCGGTGCTCAGTTACCACCATCCAGGAATGGGGGCAGGAGGGTGTTCTCCCAGGAGGCTAGGGCTTCTGAGGGACGGCAGGAGACACCCCAGAGCTGTGCCGGGTCAGAGTTTCTCATCCCCCCACCTGCTCCCCCTCGGACACAGAGGTGGCCTCCCTCACAGACAGGCCGGTGAGTCCGGGTCTCGCCTCCCCCGTGTGCCTGCCTCCCTTGGTTGGAGGGTGCCACCATCTTTCGCCCCGCCAAGGAGCCAGCAGTACTGTAGCAAGGGTCAAAGTCAGGGGTCAGCCGGGGCTGGATCACTAAGGGGACCCGCCCTCCCCACAGGCCTGCAGGCAGGGGCTGGGGTGGGCATCAGGGAGGCTGCAGTCCCGGTTCCAGAGGTCCCAGAATGGGGCGGCATGGATGGCGCGGGCGCTGTTGGGGTCTCTCCTTCCTTTCTGGGAAGAGAAGAGGCTCACGCGGGCAGCACCAGGAAGGCCTTCCCACCAGATGCTCTGTGACCTCCCACAGATGACTCACCCTCTCTGACCCTCCCGTTCCGGAGCCTGGTGGGAGGACCCACTTGCAGGGCCTCACCAGCTCTGACAGTCAGTCTGCCCCTCCCCTCCTGCTCCCCTGCATAGACCGTGATGCCGGGTTGGAGCCCCTGGTGCCCCCAGGTGCCCCCTGCCTTCCCTTCCTCCCCCCAGCCACAGCTGAGACCTCACCGACGTGCCCCTGGGACAGCATGATGCCTTTGTTACCCAGTCTAAGCTCTGGCCACCTGCCGCACGACAGGCCAGTAAGTTAAGAGATAAGGTGTTGGGGCCAGGAAAGCAACTTTGTTCAAGAAGGCGGCAGACTCATGTCCTACACCCCCACCTTCACTCAGGGCAGGAGGGGTTGAGGTCGGGAGCTGAGAGCGGACCTCAGACATCAGGACGTCGGCCAGGGTCTGAGGAGGGCCGTCAGCTGACTCCAGGCATTTTGCTGACGTGGGTTCGGCCCCGATGTTCCCGGAAGTGCCTGATGGTCCCGTTGTCATTTCTGTCCGTGCGTCCTTGTCTCCTTGGGGAGGTGAGTGTCCGGTGAGGGGCTGGCTGCACGCACCTTGAGTCAAGAGCCAAATTCCTTTGATGCTCACCCAGCCCACCTGCAGGGCCGCAGGGCAGAGCAGAAGCCGAAGATTAAGCGGCAGAGGAGACGGACGTGTGAAGGCAGAGATGCGGGCGTTTCCACTCGGCCATACCTCCTTCTCCCGGATGAGAGATTCTCCTAGAGCTCTTGAGTGGGTGCGCCTCTGGCCCAGGCACAAAGGGCCCTTTGCTGGTGGCCCCGATTCTATGCCTCAGGCGTCCCAGCCCCTGCTTCCTCAAAGTCCCACACCCCAGAGCCTTAGTCCTGCTGTGCCTCTGTCTGGAAGGTTCTTCCATGACCCCTACTCTCTGCCTGCTAAAAACTAACATGCTTTCCTGGTTCGCCCAAACGGTGGCCCCACCTGGCCAGTGTCGGACCGCGACCCTGGGCCTCTGCTGTTGTTCATGCGCTGGACTCCTGGGTGGGCTGTGGAGGTCCCCAGGGGCAGGGCCAACTTCATGGCCACCTCTTTATCCCCAGTGCCCAGCAAGCGACTTACCTGCTCTGTGGCTCAGTTTCTACCCTGGAATTGGGTTAATAATGGGGCTTATTTCATAGGGCTGCCAGGGGGACAAAATGAGTTAACATATGTAATGCAAGCAGCCCCTGGCACAGTGTGGGTGAGGGTCAGGGCCTGCGTCAGCTCCCTGGGGCCGCTGCACAGAGCACACAGCTGGGTGGGCGTGGAGACCCATCTCTCCGCAGTCTGGAGGGGGGAAGTCTGAGATGAAGGTGTGGGCAGGCTGGTTCTCTGAGCCTCTCTCCTTGGCACGTGGACGGCCGTCTCCTCACGTGGTTGTCTCTGCACATGTCTGTGTCCTAATCTCTTATTATAGGGACCCCAGTCAGATTGGATCAGGGCCCACCTGATGACCTCATTTAATTTTCATCACCTCTTTAAAGACCCAATCTCTGATTACAGGCACATTCTGAAGACCTGGGCGTTAGGACTGCAACACGTGGGTGTGGGTGGGGACACAGCTCAGCCTATCACAGGTCCTCACTGATATTTGTGAGGTGAATGAATGGAATTATGCAAATGAGATGCTTCCTTTCTGCTCAGGAAATCACAGTTACCTCAAAGAGCTGGTCCCTTTTATATATTCAGGGCAAGTTGCAAATCTTCCTGTATAGGAGTCTTTTTGCACGCTGTTTCCCACTGGTGAGCCTGTGTGTGCCTGTGCAGGGCACCTCCTTTTGAGGAGAGAGACCTCCGTAAGAGAGGTGACTCCACAGCAAGCCAGGAGTAGAAGGGATGGGGAAGCATTTATTCCCTTGAGAATTTGGTTTCTGGGCCCTGAGCTCCGTCCCCACCTGGGATTCTAATGGGAAAGCAGGAAGGGGGCTTGTAAGTGCAAACCCTTGGATTTTCACTTTTATCAACGGAAGACTCCCAGCCCTTGGGATTGCCGAGGTGGAGAACCTGTGGCTCCGCTGCCCCCGTCCTGGCTGTCGTTGCAACGCGGTTAGCACCAGGCTTGGGGGACTCGGACCTCACTCCGCACTCCTCCCTGACATTCGTCAGTCGTTTGACCTTGACAAAGCCCTTCACTGCTCTGGCTCCATTTTGCCTGCTGGGAGGGATGCTTGCTTCCCGAGATGATGAGGGGTGGTTGAGAGATCTGCATGAAGGACCAAGCCGGAGTTCACGTGGGAGAGTGCAAGCCCCCTGCGGACACTGCCCCAGGCCTTCCTCAGGGCCTGGCACACAGTGGGGGCTCAGCAATGGGACCCAGGTCTGCAGACGGATTTCCTGATGTTCTGAGCCCGTAAGGAGGGTGTTTTCTCTTCCCAAGCACCCCCTTTGTTTGGCCGGAATTCTGTCCTCTCATCTCAAGGCTGTTTGGCCTCAGCACCAGGTGGTTTTATTCCAGAAAGGACATGAGCCAGACCTGCAGGCAGAGACCCAGCCAAGGTGGAGAAGGAATAACACAGTCTGTCCCCAAGAGGCCTTCAGCCAGGGAGCCGTGTGCCCCAGTGGACTCACAAGCTGGCAGGTGTGGGCCTTGGGCAGGGGGCCTGACTGCGCCGAATGCATTTTGAGTCTCCCCCTGACTTGGCTTGGCTTTCTCGGCCTCTGGGGCGAGGGCAGGAAGGGAACTAAAAGGCCCTTGTGTTGCAGTTTTGAGCTGACACAGCTGTGTGCTGGGCCACTGCAGGGGTCAGCTGGGCTGCGAGGGGCCTGGGCTCCAGGGTGGGGTCCTCCCCACCACCAGCCCCGAGAGGTTACAGGGCTGAGGGTTTCTGGCCTGCAGATGGAGTGGGGGCAGTATCTTGGTAAAGGATAAACCCCAAAACAAATCTGCCCATGGGTTAGGTGGAGGGGTGCCCTACTCCCCTCAGGGCACCATAGGTGGGGCAGAGAAAACCGGGGGGAGGGAGGTGCATTCCAGGAAGGGAGGGGAGACCCCAGCCAGTGTGAAAGCACAGGCCCCACAGACGCTTTGCTGGGGGAGACATGCGGGGCTGAGGGTTGCAGGGCTGGCAGGGCAGTGTGCAGCCCGAGGGTGGGCGGCTGTGGGCCGCAGGCGGGGGCACAGCGCCCGGATTCTGTGAGACCCTGCGTGTCCTCGAGCAAGGGAAGACCGCACCCAGCGGTGTGGCTCTAGGTCCAGTCTTACGTGGTAGCCTGGCGGTTTTCCAGCTGTGCCCCTCAGCCCTTGGGGGGCCCTGAGCTGAGGAGGATGTGGGGGAGCCAGCTGAAGTCCTGCTTCCCTCCTGTCCTCTTTGTCCCCCACCTCCCCCAAGCCAATTTGCTCACTGTAACCTGTTTTGTTTCTGATACATGGGCTTCTGGGGTTTTATTTTGGACAAAGGGTTCTGCTGCCTAAAACTTACTAAAATCCTTGGAAAGGGAGACTAATGTGGTCTGATTGAATCCCCGTTTATCCATTCATTAGATGTGACCTGAGCATCTTCCTTCCAAGGCCTGTGCCAGGCAACGCTGAGGGCTCAGCCCAAACAAGCCACTGCCTGTGGGGTGGCCCCCCAGGGCTCAGGGCTGGGCCAGGGCGAGCCCAGGCTCTGTGAGGGCAGCAGTGGGTCTTGGCCAGGAGGCTTCTTGGTGGGGGTAAAGCTCACCCAAAGCCCTAAAGGATGGGCAGAACTTGGCCTTGGGGCCAGGAGGGAAAGGTACAACCCCCAGCCCTGTGATTCTCTGCCTGGGTGCTCAGTGAGTATGGGGGACTCTGAGCAGCCTACAGGGGTGGGGTGCCCCACCTGCCAGCTTGCAGAATCCTGGGCTGGCTCCGTGGGCACTGGGCAGCGGCGTCTTGGGGCCCCCAGGCTGCGTGCTGAGCCCAGGAAGTCTTGTTCCCACCATGCCTCCTCCTGCAGCTCCGAGGTATGTGAGGGATGGTGATGCCCATCTGTGCCAGGCCCTCACAAGGCAGGAAGCTTGGCGTCACTTGCCCAACTCTGAGATAGGGACACTCCCTCAAGGGACCATGTCCTCTCAAGCTCAGGAGACAAAGGGCCACCACGAGGGCCATCCGTTCCACCCCCGCCAAGCCAGCCTTGAACTCCCACCCCTCCTGGGGCATGAGGCTACCAGGCCATGTTGTCAGGCCTGGCTCTCCTGCTGGTCCCATACCACAGGCTGGCATCAGGGCCCCTGCTGTCATACCCTCAGCCTTGTGTTCCAGTGCAGGGCTGCCCCAGAGGCAACCTGACAGACCCTTCTCATGCGGGCCCTTCCTGGGGTGTGAGATGGCTCTCCTACTGGGGATGCCCGCTGGGAGTCCTGCGACTGCCCCTGCGTGCTCCAGAAGCCCCCCGCTGCACCACCGGCTACCAGGACCTCTCTTCACATGAGGCTGAACAGTTGCCTCCACAGGGTGTCTTCAGGGAAGGTCCATCACACGTACAGTGTGTGTTTTAGGCTGAGTTCTCGAACCTCACCTTCTCTTCTGTAGTTGCAGGCCCCGAGGAAGCCTGGCACTGTCACAGACATGCAGACATGCGGACACTCGCTCATGAGCTGGCGGGCCAGTGCCCTTAGAACTACGCGCTTTGCTGCCCTGTCTCAGCCCTCGGTCCCCCGGGGGGGCCAGTCTGCACAACGTCCTGGTAAAGTCCCGCCAGCTGCCCATTCCCTGCCGGCTTTCACATCCGTGTGCAGCCACATGGGTGAAGGCTTACTTGCTTCCCACACACCTGCTTTCAGTCAGCAACACATGCAGGGCAGCTGCCCTGGCAGGTCTGAGCTGGAAGTCCGAGGTCTGTAGGCCAGAGGTGGTCCTGCAGATTTAGGCCCAGGCTCCCTATCCAGACTGCATCGCCGCTGGGGGTGGGTCACTGTGCCCAGCTGGGGCTGAAGCATGTGCTTCAGGGTTCGCCGGGGCTGCTCAACAGAAACATTCCGTGCCAGTAGCCACAGGCCCCCCCATGTGTAGCACCTTCCAGTGCATGTCACTGCACTCTCCAGTTCGCCTTCACGACCACCTTCGACGGGAAGTGCAGCCATGGGAGGCCGGGCATTAGACTTCAAGGGCTGTTGCAAAGGCCTTTGTGCCCCTGACCTGCAGTGTGAGGACAGTGGGGGCTGCTCCTGTCTGGCCCCCATGCCAGCCCCTACTGCAGGCTCATTTATAAGTCAGCCTTGTTCTCCAATGCCCCTGACATTCATTCATTCATTCATTCATTCATTCATTCAACACACATCTTGGTGGGTCTGCTGTGTTCTAGGCACTGTGCCGTGCACTGGGACCAAATAGGGCATGTGGTTGTCATCCCCATTTTACAGAAGGGGAAACCGAGACTCAGAGAGGCTCCCTCGCTGTCCAGGGGGTGGAAGAGAGGCCTGCTGGCTCTGCCCCTTCTCTCAGCTGTACCGAGCTACATGCACACCCTTCCTCAGAAAGCCACTTGCCCTCCCCTTCCAGTCACGTGGCCACACCCCCTCCTTGGGCTCCTCATGGCAGCCGTCACGGTGA